ACCTTTGTACTTTCTCTAGTTTCTTGACGTGCTTTATCAAGTGCGGGTTCCAAACAGGTGCTGCATACTCCAGTATGGGCCTGACATACACGGTGTACAGTGTCTTGAATGATTCCTTACTAAGGTGTCGGAATGCTGTTCTCAGGTTTGCCAGGCGCCCATATGCTGCAGCAGTTATCTGATTGATGTGTGCTTCCGGAGACATGCTCGGTGTTATACTCACCCCAAGATCTTTCTCCTTGAGTGAGGTTTGCAGTCTTTGGCCACCTAGCCTATACTCTGTCTGTGGTCTTCTGTGCCCTTCCCCTATCTTCATGACTTTGCATTTGGCAGGATTAAATTCGAGAAGCCATTTGCTGGACAGGTGTGTGTGTGTGTGTGTGTGTGTGTGTGTGTACATACTCACCTAATTGTGGTTACAGGGGTCAAGACTCAGCTCCTTGAGTGTGTGTTGTGTGTGTGTGTGTGTGTGTGTGTACTCACCTAATTGTGGTTGCAGGGGTCGAGACTCAGCTCCTGGCCCCGCCTCTTCACTGACCGCTAGTAAGTCCTCCCTCTCCCTGCTCCATGAGCTTTATCATACCTCATCTTAAAATTATGTATAGTTCCTGCCTCCACTACATCGCTTGCCAGACTATTCCACTTCCTAACTACTCTATGACTGAAGAAATACTTCCTAACATCCCTTTGACTCATCCGAGTCTTCAGCTTCCAATTGTGACCCCTTGTTTCTGTGTCCCATCTCTGGAACCTCCTGTACTCACCTGTGTGTGTGTGTGTGTGTGTGTATGGGGCTTGTATATAGTGTATGGTATGTGTGAGAGTGTTAGTGTGTTTTTTATGTCTGCATTGTGTGTGTGTGTGTGTGTGTGTGTGTGTGTGTGTGTGTGTGTGTGTGTGTGTGTGTGTGTGTGTGTGTGTGTGTGTGTGTGTGTGTGTGTGTTTGTGTGCGCGCGTGTGCGCGAGCACGCATGGGCACGTATGTGTGTGTGTTTTATCTATTTGCTGAAACATGACTAAAAATTACACAAGTAATTACCTATTTGTAATTAAAAATTTGAAATTACAGAAGTAGAGTTATCTTTGTGGAGTCCTATCTTCAGGATTTAATGTATCTTACATAATTTTTAAAAACTTTCCTCTTCAAATGTCCCATTCCATTATTCTACCGCTCTATGAAGACCTTTCTAATTCTAGTATAATTGTGCACTTCCACAGTTTACAGTTGTGGCTTCTTGTTCTCCCTGCTGTTGATGTTAACTTTTTCCCTTCTTTTCATATCCTTTTATACTATATTCAGTTATCATATTTCCTCTTCACCTTCTGTCTGCCAATATCTAATGTCTTAATCTTCTTATTTAACTCCTGGATCCATTTTATAGCTCATATTTACATTTTATCCCTCTTTACAAATTAATATTTCATGAGGAACTTCATAATGTGGAGTCAGCAGTCCACAACCCCTTGCCATATCATACCTTTCTTCCCTTCATAATAAAATCATGGTAGCTGCCTTGAAGCTGGTGAACAGTTCTTGGTTCCAAGGAAATGAAGTTACCCTCCCCTTTCTTGGAACAAACTTGCCACTCCCCAGGCACTGTATAACCCCTACAAGTTTAATCCTTACCTAATACTACTATCACTACTATTATATTACTACTAATATAACTACACTAAAAGATTATTACTGTAATAACAATATTCCACACACATAATGGGTCCAAGGAATGGGCTCAAGCATTTTCAAGAGCTAAGCAAGTTACAACAGTAATGAAATATGATGCAGTATTTACAATTAACCACCCAGGGAGGTACTACCGTCCTGCCAAGTGAATGTAAAACAAAAGCCTGTAACTGTTTTACATGATGGTAGGATTGCTGGTGTTTTTTGTCTGTCTCATAAGCATGCAAGATTTCAGGTATGTCTTGCTACTTCTACTTGCACTTAGGTCACACTACACATACATGTACAAGCATATATATACACACCCCTCTGGGTATTCTTCTATTTTCTTTCTAGTTCTTATTCTTGTTTATTTCCTCTTATCTCCAGGGGGAAGTGGAATAGAATTCTTCCTCCGTAAGCCATGTGTGTTGTAAGAGGCGACTAAAATGCCGGGAGCAAGAGGCTAGTAACCCCTTCTCCCGTATAAATTACTAAATTTAAAAGAGAAACTTTCATTTTTCTTTTTGGGCCACCCCGCCTTGGTGGGATACGGCTGGTGTGTTGAAAGAAAGAAAGATTTACAATTAAGTGAATTATTAACAAGAGTGAGTTGTTTACCTATTAATGACAAATATTACAAGAGAGCTTATATGTGCTTGTGAGTTATCTACACTAACAGATTTAGCAAGTTATGGTTGTACTGAAGCAAGTTAATTTTAAAGTGGTAGCTATGATTACAAATGAACACTTCACTATACAAACCTTCTGGATTCCCAAAAATATAGGGTTCACTCATCACTATTTTACTTCTTCCTTGCTGAAGAGCTTCTTTAATTGTGAGGATGGGCTTCTTGATGTCCTCATACTCCACTATCACCTGCTTTGCTGCACGAAGTGCTGTCGCTCTCTGATCAGCAACAATAAGACCAAGAGCCTGGCCAGCATATTTCACCTGTTCTTCTACAAATACCTTTAAAAGCAAATTTGAGGGGGCATTCAGTTTCTAGCTTGGGGTATCTAAATGATATACTGTATCTAATAAAAAATTGTCTACTAAATCCACTGACTGGAATAATGACCTTGACTTTTCTTCTTATGTAATTTTTGGCCCTCTCATATATCAAGCAATTCACCTTCAGTGACTGGTGTGATACAGAACCCAAACATTTTATCATATATATATAGTGGATTCCTTGGTGGTAGGTTGGTAAACAGCAACCTCCCAGGGAGGTACTACCATCCTGCCAAGTGAGTGTAAAACGAAAGCCTGCATTTGTTTTACGTGACTGTAGGACTGCTGGTGTCTTTTTTCTGTATCATAAACATGCAAGATTTCAGGTACATCTTGCTACTTCTTCTTACATTTAGGTCACACTACACATGCATGTACAAGCATATATATGTATATATATATATATATATATATATATATATATATATATATATATATATATATATATATGTATATATATATATATATATATATATATTCTAGGTAGTAGGTTGGTAGACAGCAACCGCCCAGGGAGGTACTACCGTCCTGCCAAGTGAGTGTAAAACGAAAGCCTGTAATTGTTTTACATGATGGTAGGATTGCTGGTGTCCTTTTTTTCTGTCTCATAAACATGCAAGATTTCAGGTACGTCTTGCTACTTCTACTTACACTTAGGTCACACTACACATGCATGTACAAGCATATATATGTATATATACACATCCCTCTGGGTTTTCTTCTATTTTCTTTCTAGTTCTTGTTGTTGTTTATTTCCTCTTATCTCCATGGGGAAGTGGAACAGAATTCTTCCTCCGTAAGCCATGCGTGTTTGTAAAGGCGACTAAAATGCCAGGAGCAAGGGGCTAGTAACCCCTTCTCCCGTATAAATTACTAAATTTAAAAAGAGAAACTTTCGTTTTTCTTTTTGGGCCACCCTGCCTTGGTGGGATACGGCCGGTTTGTTGAAAAAAAAAAAAAAAAAAAAAATATATATATAATATATATATATATATATATATATATATGTAAAAAGAGAGCAAATGAGAGAGTGGGTGAGATGTTATCAACAAATTTTGTTGAAAATAAGAAAAAGTTTTGGAGTGAGATTAACAAGTTAAGAAAGCCTAGAGAACAAATGGATTTGTCAGTTAAAAATAGGAGAGGAGAGTTATTAAATGGAGAGTTAGAGGTATTGGGAAGATGAAGGAATATTTTGAGGAATTGTTAAATGTTGATGAAGATAGGGAAGCTGTGATTTCGTGTATAGGGCAAGGAGGAATAACATCTTGTAGGAGTGAGGAAGAGCCAGTTGTGAGTGTGGGGGAAGTTCGTGAGGCAGTAGGTAAAATGAAAGGGGGTAAGGCAGCCGGGATTGATGGGATAAAGATAGAAATGTTTAAAAGCAGGTGGGGATATAGTTTTGGAGTGGTTGGTGCAATTGTTTAATAAATGTATGGAAGAGGGTAAGGTACCTAGGGATTGGCAGAGAGCATGCATAGTTCCTTTGTATAAAGGCAAAGGGGATAAAAGAGAGTGCAAAAATTATAGGGGGATAAGTCTGTTGAGTGTACCTGGTAAAGTGTATGGTAGAGTTATAATTGAAAGAATTAAGAGTAAGACGGAGAATAGGATAGCAGATGAACAAGGAGGCTTTAGGAAAGGTAGGGGGTGTGTGGACCAGGTGTTTACAGTGAAACATATAAGTGAACAGTATTTAGATAAGGCTAAAGAGGTCTTTGTGGCATTTATGGATTTGGAAAAGGCGTATGACAGGGTGGATAGGGGGGCAATGTGGCAGATGTTGCAAGTGTATGGTGTAGGAGGTAGGTTACTGAAAGCAGTGAAGAGTTTTTACGAGGATAGTGAGGCTCAAGTTAGAGTATGTAGGAAAGAGGGAAATTTTTTCCCAGTAAAAGTAGGCCTTAGACAAGGATGTGTGATGTCACCGTGGTTGTTTAATATATTTATAGATGGGGTTGTAAGAGAAGTAAATGCGAGGGTCTTGGCAAGAGGCGTGGAGTTAAAAGATAAAGAATCACACACAAAGTGGGAGTTGTCACAGCTGCTCTTTGCTGATGACACTGTGCTCTTGGGAGATTCTGAAGAGAAGTTGCAGAGATTGGTGGATGAATTTGGTAGGGTGTGCAAAAGAAGAAAATTAAAGGTGAATACAGGAAAGAGTAAGGTTATGAGGATAACAAAAAGATTAGGTGATGAAAGATTGAATATCAGATTGGAGGGAGAGAGTATGGAGGAGGTGAACGTATTCAGATATTTGGGAGTGGACGTGTCAGCGGATGGGTCTATGAAAGATGAGGTGAATCATAGAATTGATGAGGGAAAAAGAGTGAGTGGTGCACTTAGGAGTCTGTGGAGGCAAAGAACTTTGTCCTTGGAGGCAAAGAGGGGAATGTATGAGAGTATAGTTTTACCAACGCTCTTATATGGGTGTGAAGCGTGGGTGATGAATGTTGCAGCGAGGAGAAGGCTGGAGGCAGTGGAGATGTCATGTCTGAGGGCAATGTGTGGTGTGAATATAATGCAGAGAATTCGTAGTTTGGAAGTTAGGAGGAGGTGCGGGATTACCAAAACTGTTGTCCAGAGGGCTGAGGAAGGGTTGTTGAGGTGGTTCGGACATGTAGAGAGAATGGAGCGAAACAGAATGACTTCAAGAGTGTATCAGTCTGTAGTGGAAGGAAGGCGGGGTAGGGGTCGGCCTAGGAAGGGTTGGAGGGAGGGGGTAAAGGAGGTTTTGTGTGCGAGGGGCTTGGACTTCCAGCAGGCATGCTTGAGCGTGTTTGATAGGAGTGAATGGAGACAAATGGTTTTTAATACTTGACGTGCTGTTGGAGTGTGAGCAAAGTAACATTTATGAAGGGATTCAGGAAACCGGCAGGCCGGACTTGAGTCCTGGAGATGGGAAGTACAGTGCCTGCACTCTGAAGGAGGGGTGTTAATGTTGCAGTTTAAAAACTGTAGTGTAAAGCACCCTTCTGGCAAGACAGTGATGGAGTGAATGATGGTGAAAGTTTTTCTTTTTCGGGCCACCCTGCCTTGGTGGGAATCGGCCGGTGTGATAATAAAAAAAAAAAAAAAAAAAAAAAATATATATATAATTATATAATATATATATATATATAAATATATATATATATATATATATATATATATATATTATATATATATATATATATATATATATATATATATTATATATATACACTCTAGGTAGTAGTTGGTAGACAGCAACCGCCCAGGGAGGTACTACCGTCCTGCCAAGTGAGTGTAAAACGAAAGCCTGTAATTGTTTTACATGATGGTAGGATTGCTGGTGTCCTTTTTTTCTGTCTCATAAACATGCAAGATTTCAGGTATGTCTTGCTACTTCTACTTAAACTTAGGTCACACTACACATACATGTACAAGCATATATATGTATGTATATATACACATCCCTCTGGGTTTTTCTTCTATTTTCTTTCTAGTTCTTGTTGTTGTTTATTTCCTCTTATCTCCATGGGGAAGTGGAACAGAATTCTTCCTCCGTAAGCCATGCGTGTTGTAAGAGGCGACTAAAATGCCAGGAGCAAGGGGCTAGTAACCCCTTCTCCCGTTAAATTACTAAATTTAAAAAGAGAAACTTTCGTTTTTCTTTTTGGGCCACCCTGCCTTGGTGGGATACGGCCGGTTTGTTGAAAAAAAAAAAAAAAAAAAAAATATATATACACCCTTCTGGGTTTTTCTTCTTATTTTTCTTACTAATTCTTGTTCTTGTTCTTGTTTATTTCTGCTTATCTCCATGGGGAAGTGGAACAGAATTCTTCCTCCGTAAGCCATGCGTGTTGTAAGAGGCGACTAAAATGCCGGGAGCAAGGGGCTAGTAACCTCTTCTCCTGTATATATTACTAAATTTAAAAGGAGAAACTTCAGTTTTTTCTTTTGGGCCACCCCACCTCAGTGGGATACGGCTGGTACGTTGAAAGAAGAAGATATATATATATATATATATATATATATATATATATATATATATATATATATATATATATATACACCCTTCTGGGTTTTTCTTCTTATTTTTCTTACTAATTCTTGTTCTTGTTCTTGTTTATTTCTGCTTATCTCCATGGGGAAGTGGAACAGAATTCTTCCTCCATAAGCCATGCGTGTCATAAGAGGTGACTAAAATGCCGGAAGCAAGGGGCTAGTAACCCCTTCTCCTGTATATATTACTAAATTTGAAAGGAGAAACTTTCGTTTTTCCTTTTGGGCCACCCCACCTCGGTGGGATGCGGCTGGTACGTTGAAAGGAAGAAGAAGATATACAGTGGATTCCTAGGTAGTAGGTTGGTAGACAGCAACCTCCCAGGGCGGTACTACCATCCTGCCAAGTGAGTGTAAAACGAAAGCCTGTATTTGTTTTACAAGATCATAGGAATGCTGGTGTCTTTTTTCTGTCTCATAAACATGCAAGATTTCAGGTACATCTTGCTACTTCTTCTTACATTTAGGTCACACTACACATGCATGTACAAGCATATATATACACACCCTTTTGGGGTTTCTTCTTATTTTTCTTACTAATTCTTGTTCTTTTTTATTTCCACTTTATCTCCATGGGGAAGCGAAACAGAATTATTCCTCCGTAAGCCATGCGTGTAGTAAAAGGCCATTTGTAGGGAGAATGGTAAACCTATAGAAGTTATATAGTGCCTGGGGGAAATGGGATGCATTCAGGTTCAATCCCAGGAGATCCCAAGTTTAGATTCCTGAAGGTTACTCTTACTTTTGTCAACATTACATAAGCTAATGACATTATCATTTTCAAATGTGCTCCAAGTAATAGGTACGTATACAGAATAGGTGTGTGTGTGTGTGTGTGTGTGTGATTTCCCATTTCTAGTTACAGGAGCAGAATTATATAATCGTGGTGTCTTCTCATCAGTTTTTAATTTTTTCTACAAACAGTTTACGGATAAATTAGTTAAGAATGTTAAACAGTATGACTTACAGGATCGGGTCTTGCTCCAGCATTAACAATGAAGCTGTTACGTCCAGGTATGTCAGCAGCTGCTACAAAACTCACAACTCCAGGGATTTTCTGTTACAACGAAACTCAAAGTCAAAATAAAATTTATATATTAGTACAGCAAGAAAAATATAATGTTCTATTAACCCTTTCAGGGTCCAAGGCCCAAATCTGGAGTCACGCACCAGTGTCCAAGAATTTTCAAAAAAAAAATTTGCTATTTTTTCTTATGAAATCGTAGAGAATCTTTTTGTGAAGGTAATAAAACAAAAAGTACGAAATTTGGTGGAAAATTGACGAAATTATGCTCTCGCGAATTTTGATGTGTCAGCGATATTTACGAATCGGCGATTTTGCCGACTTTGACTCCCATTTTAGGCCAATTACATTATTCCAATCAACCAAATTCTTAGCTATTTCACTAGTATTACTTCTATTCTATCGATTGAGCACAAGAAATCGCCAAGTCAACTGTTTCAACTACAAAATAAAGTGATCGGAAATTGTTAATTTGGCCAATTTAACACAAAGTTCAAAATATTCCAATTTCAAAATAGGGTCCAGAATAAACAATGTAGGCATTCCTGGCACTAAACTAACATTTCCTCTGTTCATTAGTTATGTTTTGAGACTTTACAAATAAATTCCATTTTGATTTTTTATTCACATAATGAATTTTTATTCACACCAAAAAATAGAAGATTTACTGTTATGCAATACTGTAATAATTGTATAAATATCATCACCATATTTGTGAATGTATATTAGACCAACCAGCTGGCGTGTATTAGACGTGTGAGGTCGTTTGTTCACTCTTGAATATCGGCAAAAATTTAACATTTCCGCTACTTTGAGGTCAGTTTCAAGCCATTTCCAGTGCTAAAACCATTCAAAATCATCTCTATTTCTGTAATATGTCTTCCATTCTATCAAATGAGACCAAGAAATCGCAAATACAACTATAAAAAACATACGAAAAAACACTGCAAAGTTGCTGTTTTAATCGAAAAATCATGATTTCAGTTTTTTTCTCTCATACATAGTGTGCTGCAGAATCTGTTTTATGTGGTGCACACATACCACATAGATGTATTCTCTCATATCTAGGCCCAAATGTACCACTCACAGTTTATCAGAGTGAGCTGAGCTCATGGCGTAGATCTACGGTTTGGACACTCACCATAAAGCCATAGATCTACGGGACGGACCCTGAAAGGGTTAATATATAAAATGCTCTCAGAATATGAATTATAATTGTTTGATGTGATTACTTATTTGATGTGTTTACAATATTGCTTTTTGGCCCTAGCAAAAGACATTTTTGGTCCATTTTGAACATGCTGCAGCTGCAGTATCAGCTACAGAGGAAACAGTTCAGTCCAGGGAAGACCCCAGGGTCTAGAAATGTGGTACTTACTGATGTAAATGACATCTGTTTGAGGCTCACAATACCAGGATGGGTTTTGTGAGCCTCAAATAGATGTTAGGCAAGATGCACAATGAGAAATTGTCATTTTTCAAGCACATGGTGGAATTTTTGCAAGGCAAAAAGCCAGCTGAACCCGAAAGTGGGTAAGCCAGGTAGTTACCATGCTATTACTAGTCCTGTGTACCATGGAGATTAGTCATACTCACAAGAAAAACTCAAGGAGCAGTAAAGATCAGCATAAATTGGAAGGTAATTGGAGAGTTGCAACAGGTCCAGTGAAATGTGGTCATACTAGATACCCTAACTTAATAAATACCTGTGAATACAAGTGATGTTAATCATAAGTAATCAGAGGTGAAGGAGATTATTACTACTAAGCAAGTAAACAGATCTTACTTGGATCCAGAGATGTGACAAATGTTGTGAATGAGGTGTGACATTCCAGGGATGGCCACCCAGGGCCCCACCACAGAAATTTTACTTACCAAGGCCTCAGAAGCATCGATGGATTTTATCTTGGCATTAGCAAATGATGACTGAACAAAGGCACCATGAAGTTCATTGTGTAGAGGAGGCACATCATCTAGATATGCAGCTTCACCTGTAAGTTATCATAGCCATTACAAATTTTGTTACTATGAGACATTTATAGTTACAGCATATATGATAAAAAGAAACACTACATCACAAGTGTAAATTAAAACCACTATAACATAGGCTAAAGAACCAAATTTATTGATAATATTTTGTATACAAATTTTCTCAAATTTACAAAATACACACAAGAGTACATAAGCATGCCATCAAGTAGGTGACCTATGCTCAGTGGTAAAATGATCAGCTCACAACTGAAAGAGCCTGGGCGTGATTTCCAGACAGGGTGACATATACAGACAAGTCTCATTACACCTGATGCCCATGTTCAACTAGCAACAAACATAATCAGGAACTGTTGGACTGTTGTATGTTACATCCTTGGAGAGGAATGGAAGGACCCTAGTGGAATTACACCACACTGGTCAACGCCCCACGGCCCGGTCTGTGACCAGGCCTCATGGTGGATCAGGGCCTGATCAACCAGGCTGTTACTGCTGGCTGCACGCAATCCAACATACAAGCCACAGCCCAGCTGGTCAGGTACCGACCTGGGTTATCCACAGGTGATTACCCAAAGAACTTCTCCTCCTTTAGAAATGAGTATGGTAAAAGGGAATGAAAACAAAGGGTCAGGAACAGGGCGTGTACAATTTTTTTTTTTTTATAATCTGGGATAAATTTACAAACACAAGTGTTGATCATACCTCCCAATGAACCTGAATTACCCTCTCCTTCCTTGGATCAAACCTAATCACTTCCCAATCTCCAGGCATAGTATGGCTCCTAAGGCTTTCCCTCTTCCTCATGATATATGTAAAAACTTTACCTGATATCTGTGTTGTAGACTCTACTTTTGGAACACCTTTACCAACAGGCCATGTGTCTTCATTCATGTCGAAGCCCTGTTGTCCAGATGACAATGGTCTCTCCAAGATAGCAGCAGCACTGCGAATGTCACCACTAACTTTGTCTCCAAGAAAGCCAACAACAGCCTAATTAAATTAAAAAAATAGAGGAAAATACTAAATCCAGTAAAATATATTGCAAATGCTCTATAAGTACAAAATTTATTTACTGTATGGTAACAAACACACACACACATACAAAAACAAACAAACACACACACACACACCTGCCGGGTCACCACATGGGAAAGTGCCAGGCCAGGACCTGGTCTGGCAAACCTACCTGTACCTGAACACAAACACACTATTTACTGTTAAAAAGTATGGGGTATAAGTACATAGGAATTATGAACTGTACAGTACAATACCTTGTAAAACAGACTCTGAGCAAGTGACTTCCTGTACTGTGGTGAGGCATCTTGGGGCTTAGCATCAGGAGTCATCTCATTAGCTAAGATCTTTGCAGCCTCCACAACTGTCACTACCTCTGTTAGATATTTGCCAACCAGGTAAGCTTCTGTCTGCTCTGCATGGATCTGTTAAGTGAAAGACATTACATAATTATGAAATGTTAATAATATACATAAAACATGAGGGTATTGTGTAACTCTTATTTGTTGTGAACATGCTGACTTAAATGAATGAAAATAAGAAAAGTACACATTAAAAAAATTGTTTTTAAAGAGAACATTAAAATAATTTTCCAACATATTTTATTGGAAAATGGGAATACAGATATGATTCATGTGACTTATTTTTTTCACCACCATTTCTGAAGAATTTTCTAGAATCATCTTGTCAGTTGTAACTTTTAGTTTATAGTTATCATCGCTATTACTTCCCTTGTTCAATTGTTTCACAAACAATTATTTTCACTGCTTACCTTGCACCTGATATCTGCATCATCTACCAGCATGTTCATATAGTTCTTAATCCTTCTGAGAAGTCATTTTTATAAATAACATTATTGGGGCAAGAACTGATGTACAGTATATACTGTATGTGCACAAATTATTTATTTAATATGTACAGGACAGTACTGCACTGTAAAATATTAGCACTGTGCAAAGTTTGCATAATGCATATATTCTAGTTACACACATGAATGCAGTCAAAATCACTATCAAAAGACATATGAACTTTCCCATGAACTTACATGTCATTCAGCTAAGTTACAGTACTAGGCATGACACCCATATTTACAGAGAAAATTAAGACCATTTTATTTTCTTCATAGTCATGAGGAAGTACAAAACCCAGAGGGGTCAGACAGTGCATGAGGAATTGGTGGTATTGAGATTGACTCAAGGTGGGGAAAACAGTTCCAGTTCCTTGGATCAACACTCCTTCACCAGCATTAACGTAGCCCTCTAGAAGGAAAAGACTTCATCAGAGAGAAATAAAACATCTTCATTTTCTATACAGTGGTACCTCGGGATACAAACTTAATTCGTTCCAGAAGGCTGTTCGAGTGCCGATATCGAACGAATTTGTTCCAATAAGGAATAATATAAATTAGATTAATCCGTTTCAGACCCCCAAAAATACACTTACAAAAGCACTTACATAAATACACTTACATAACTGTTCGAGTTTTGAGCTGTTCGTATCCCGAGGTACCACTGTACACCATATTTTACAATTTCGAAGACACTATTTTTTTCCCAAAATAAGTCTCGAAAATTTACCCAGTGTCTTGGAGGCCAAAGCACCATTTATCTTTTCTATTACAAAATTTAGCCAATCAGAACTGGGGGGAGGGGGGCATCCTCGACACCAGAGCGTCTTGTTCACCGTAAAATATGGTACACAGTGTAAAACATTACTTAAATAAACAGGATAAAAATAAAGAGATGAAGATATCTAAAACATAACATGTAACAATTCATTAAAATTCTACAAATTTAGATTCAGAAGAGAAACTTGAAAGCAATGATTAGGCTTTTGAGTTGTAGATAAGCGAAACAAACTGCAAAGCAAAATCTTTAAAGTAAATAATTTGAGTAGCATTAAACACTCAAGACATATATGAGTGTGGAACAGGAGTGACCTGCCTAGCATGTAACACGAGTGACCTGCCTAGCATGTAACACGAGTGACCTGCCTAGCATGTAACACGAGTGACCTGCCTAGCATGTAACACGAGTGACCTGCCTAGCATGTAACACGAGTGACCTGCCTAGCATGTAACACGAGTGACCTGCCTAGCATGTAACACGAGTGACCTGCCTAGCATGTAACACGAGTGACCTGCCTAGCATGTAACACGAGTGACCTGCCTAGCATGTAACATGAGTGACCTGCCTAGCATGTAACACGAGTGACCTGCCTAGCATGTAACACGAGTGACCTGCCTAGCATGTAACACGAGTGACCTGCCTAGCATGTAACACGAGTGACCTGCCTAGCATGTAACACGAGTGACCTGCCTAGCATGTAACACGAGTGACCTGCCTAGCATGTAACATGAGTGACCTGCCTAGCATGTAACACGAGTGACCTGCCTAGCATGTAACACGAGTGACCTGCCTAGCATGTAACACGAGTGACCTGCCTAGCATGTAACACGAGTGACCTGCCTAGCATGTAACACGAGTGACCTGCCTAGCATGTAACACGAGATGACACTGTCCTAGCATGTAACACAGTGACCTGCCTAGCATGTAAACACAAGTGACCTGCCTAGCATGTAACACGAGTGACCTGCCTAGCATGTAACACGAGTGACCTGCCTAGCATGTAACACGAGTGACCTGCCTAGCATGTAACACGAGTGACCTGCCTAGCATGTAACAGGAGTGACCTGCCTAGCATGTAACACGAGTGACCTGCCTAGCATGTAACAGGAGTGACCTGCCTAGCATGTAACACGAGTGACCTGCCTAGCATGTAACACGAGTGACCTGCCTAGCATGTAACAGGAGTGACCTGCCTAGCATGTAACACGAGTGACCTGCCTAGCATGTAACACGAGTGACCTGCCTAGCATGTAACACGAGTGACCTGCCTAGCATGTAACACGAGTGACCTGCTAGCATGTAACAGAGTGACCTGCCTAGCATGTAACACGAGTGACCTGCCTAGCATGTAAACAGATGACCTGCCTAGCATGTAACACGAGTGACCTGCTACATTTAACACGAGTGACCTGCCTAGCATGTAACACGAGTGACCTGCCTAGCATGTAACAGGAGGCTTACTGCAGTGTTCCTTAGTTATTACATTCTTATGTACTTTCTTCAATAGTACAGTAAATGGGTATTTTGAAGCATCATCATACAGTTCATTCTTTTTAAGCACCTCCTCAAATAAAAAAAAATCAACACTTCCAGTTTTCCTCTTTCTTTATCATCTTTTTCACCTATGCAATGTAGTACAAAATGACCCTTGCAAATTTAGCAGTTTCCAAGAACAATAATAATAATAATAATAATAATAATAATAATAATAATAATAATAATAATAATAATAATAATAATATGTAATATTCTAATTAATACTGCTACATAAAATTCAAATTTAAAAACATATCTTCAGGTTTCCTTTTCATTAAAAAAAATGAGTATACTGTATATGTAGGGGGGATTTGACTCAGTCTATGGATATCAAGGTTCTAAGTAAAAAGTATTCATTAAGCTTTCACTGATAATCTGATGCTCGCATTTTAACATGAGGTATTTAAAGTGAAAACTCTGTGTAATGTTTTGCAAGATGACCCTTTATAGCCAAGAAATCAACTTCATTTCATTGGCCCTTCAGCAGGTGGCTTACCAGAGTAGCCTGCAGGTTTAATGTGATATACATGTGGGTTATGTCATCTATGTTGAGATTTCAGCTTAATTCATTCTGGAATTAGTCTTAACTTACAAAATCAGCATTTATTCCTCCAAACAGCAGGAAAGGCTTCTCTAATATTTTGACATCCACAGGATCCAGTTTCATCTTAAAGCAGGCATTGACATGTGCATGGGCATTGACAGTTCTTGGGGATATCTTGAAGGTCTGAACCTGAAAAAAAAAATTCCTACGTTATGTGTCTTAGCTTAATTCTAAATAATTTTTATTAACACATCAGCCATTTCCCACTGAGGCAGGGTGACCTAAAAAAAGAAGAAACACTTTCATCACTCACTCTATCACTGTCTTGCGAGAGATATGCCTACACTACAGTTCAAAAGCTGCAACATATCTCCACTCCACCTTCAGATCACAGGCACTGTACTCCCCACCTCCAGGACTCAAGTCTAAAATGTCAGCAGTCAACCTCAGTACTGTTGATGAAGAGCCTAAATTATTTTCTCTTTACTCATTATTCTCTTGCTTACTTTTTAATTAACACTGTTATGCAGTGCCATCCTTGACTCAATTATGTAGGTGTAAGTAAACATACTTATACTATAGTTCATTTTTTCTTGTATTCTCTTTCACTTTATGGAATCCTAGTTCGGTGCTTTGATTTTATCTACTGGAAAAACTCTGGTGGTTAATTTCCCTATTTTTCATCAGAAACAAATTAACTTCACATTTAAAATTAATGAACATTTGCATTTAAATGACAAAGTGAAATATTGTGTAAAGCAACCCATGACTCATTCAACAGCTGTCTTGCCAGAAATGAGCATTTCAATTCTAATGGCTCCCAACCTTCAGAGTGCTGGCACTGTATGTCACACCTCCAGGATTCCAAATCCAGCTAACTAGTTTCCTTGAATCCTGTCATAAATGTTACCTTGCTCACACCTCAGCAGTACAATTAATTATAAAACCCACTTATCTCTATTCACTCTGATTGAACAGAATCAAAAGAGCCTGCTCAATACTCGAGCTCCTAGTAAACAAAACATTCTTACCCCCTCTTGCAAACCTTTCCAAGGATGACCCCTACTGTTTCTTTCTTCAACCCCCACATTTAAGCATCCTCTTGGCCATCCTATTCTGCTCCATCCCCTCTAAATGTCCAAACTACTTTAAAAAACCCTCCTCAGTTCTCTGAATTATACTGTTTGTAACCACATACCATCTTCACACCTCCATGCTTTGGATTCTCTGTGTAGTCACACCACACATTACCCATATTTAAAGCCATGCTTCACACCTTTACAGGTGTTGCTGCTGCTATACTCAGATACATTCCAAATTTTGCCTCCATGAATAAAGTTTTTTTTGTTTCCACAGCCACAGATGCCTCAGCACACCACCCATCTTCCTCTCAGCTATGGTTTGCTTCTTGCTTCATGCATGCATTCACCAACAAGTCCGCTTCCAAATATTTGAACACATTTACTTACACCGTACTTCCTCCCTCCAATCTGATATCTGGTCTTTCATTGCCTAGATTTTCTTGTTGCTCTCATCACTTTCCTCTTTCCTATGTTCACTTTTAATTTTCTTTTTTTACATGCCTTCCCAGCTTCACTCACTAATCTTTGCAACTTCCTTTCAGAATCTACCAAAGTAATCAGGCCATTGATAAAGAGTAACTGTGGCAACTTGCACCATGTGGGTATATGTATACTCAAACATTTTTTTTTTATTTTTTTTATTAACACATTGGCCGATTCCCACCAAGGCAGGGAGGCCCAAAAAAGAAAAACTTTCATCATCATTCACTCCATCACTGTCTTGCCAGAGGGGTGCTTTGCACTACAGTTTATAAAACTGCAACATTAACACCCCTCCTTCAGAGTGCAGACACTGTACTTCCCATCTCCAGGACTCAAGTCCGGCCTGCCGGTTTCCCTGATTTTTTTTTTTTCAACAAGTCAGCCGTCTCCCACCGAGGCAAGGTGACCCAAAAAAGAAAGAAAATCCCCAAAAAGAAAATACTTTCATCATCATTCAACACTTTCACCACACTCACACATTATCACTGTTTTTGCAGAGGTGCTCAGAATACAACAGTTTAGAAGCATATACGTATAAAGATACACAACATATCCCTCCAAACTGCCTTCATAAATGTTACTTTGCTCACACTCCAACAGCACATCAAGTATAAAAACCATTTGTCTCCATTCACTCCTGTCAAATACACTCACGCATGCTTGCTGGAAGTCCAAGCCCCTCGCACACAAAACCTCCTTTACCCCCTCCCTCCAACCTTTTCTAGGACGACCCCTACCCCGCCTTCCCTCCACTACAGATTTATACACTCTCGAAGTCATTCTGTTTCATCCCATTCTCTCTACATGTCTGAACCACCTCAACAACCCTTCCTCAGCCATGTGGACAACAGTTTTGGTAATCCCGCACCTCTTCCTAACTTCCAAACTACGAATTCTCTGCATTATATTCACACCACATATTGCCCTCAGACATGACATCACTGCCTCCAGCCTTCTCCTTGCTGCAACATTCATCACCCATGCTTCACACTCATATAAGAGCACTGGTAAAACTATACTCTCATACATGTATTTATACATATACTGTATGTACATACACTCTCCCTCCCCCTCATTACATACATGAATTTAGATGGCCAAACAAGTTTCAAATTCAAAATCAAATAATTTATTTCTTCATGAAACATTATTTTTACACAAACAGATGACATTTAATATTGCAGTAAAACTTACCTTTACATTTTCAGGCATGGGTGGCAGTGTCACTGAGAGGATTATACCTCTTGACATGTCAGTTTGAAGGAACTGTTCCAGGTCAATCTGAGTAGTAGTGAGGCTATCAGCATGGCAAAGAGTTAGTTGTGCATTTGCCAGCAGCAGAGTCAAAAAGATGTCAGATGGAAATTCTGGATGTTTGTGTTTCAGCATTAAATTGCCTGCCCAGCTTCCAATCTATTAAGATATAAAACCAGATATTTCATTGAATAATACTGTGATTTGTTCTTGGATCTTCAGTTGGAAGTTTAAAACTAAAATATTATTAATAGTTTAAACAAATGATGATCCTACCTTGGTGTTCGACAGCTTAAGATTTATAAATACAGTAGACTATCAAATAGTGCACACGATTAATAATTATATCCTAATGGTTATAATCATAACCATGACTTTTACAGTGGAAGTCCTCAGTCAGATGACCAAAAGCTCCAGCTGTGGGTCATCATACAAATAAGACCCACATCAGAAAACTTTTGTCCTGTTTCCTAACAAACATTATACATACCTACCATCAAACAGCACACAATCTATTAACACTTTTCATAACATGGTTGAAACATTGCTGCATATTTCTGATGGGTACACAATATTTAATAATTAGCATGAAGTAAATTTAGGGAAAAATAGCTAAAAGGCAGTAGTAACTGATAATCTCACTGTAACTACATGCTTATTCCTGTGCTTTTAACAGCATAATGATTGACAATTAAGTGTGAAAGTACACTAATTAAATGAGAAGGTGAAGGGAAGATACTATAGCACTGCCATGATAACTATTTGTGTTTGGAGTTCATGGGGCGACAACAATATACACCGAGATTCCAATTCAAAATTTAAAACAATTTTTTTTTCTGCAAAGTATACAATATGTAGTTTACATTTAAAACAATATTGTTAATCACAAAGAAAGCCACTAGCATGAGTGAGCACTTTGGACACAGACCCCTCCGGCTATTGCAAACCTTAAAACCACCAATAACAATAGCAGAGATTGTCGCACAGACTCTCGGGTTGTTGCAACTCTTAAACCTGACAATAACAGCAGGACATACTGATAAACCTTATGAAGTTTATTTGTTATTTTGTTCATTTCATATTTTGGGGGGATAGCTTGCGCTGGTATTATAATGGGTATTACTCTAGGTATATTTATTTAGTAAAATATCTTGTCTTATGGCCAATAATATATGGCATTTTTCCTGTTTTTTCCAGGTGATTGTGGTTGTGGAGGTGCATGATAACTGTATAACTGCCGGTCACATGTTTGTACAGGGTCACATCAACCCCTCTCCACACATTTTTATATCAACAAGCAAAGACAACCCCATTTTTAGGGGTCATAGAAACATAACCCTGTTTTTTCTAAATTAGCTTAAGCTCATTTTTACACAGATTTTTAATTGATGCCATTTTCAGGAATGTAACTACTACGTTAGTTGACAGTCAACTGTAAATTCATACTTGTCACCCAGCTCATGGTGAAAACAATCATGTTTACTCTAAGACTGGGAAGGATGAAGCAAACTTGAGAAAGAAAGAGTGAAGCATGAGGGTGTGGGGGTGGCATGGGCTAAGTAATTGCTGAGCCACACAAGACTGCCTCAAATCATGGGAATTTCTTACCCGGTCTCCAGAGGAATCTTTCTAGCCTAAATTCTACATATCTAGTTGTGACTATATTTTCTTAACAGAATCCTGTCTGTATACTGCCAAGTATCTATATTGTATATGAACTCTTGTGGGTCTATCACTTTAAATAAATAATAATAATAACAATAAAATAAAACAATAATAATAATAATAATAATAATAATAAAAAATAATAATAATAATAATAAAATAATAATAATAATAATATAATATAATAATAATAATAATAATAATAATAATAATATGTACATGAACTAGAGAAGGGGAAATTAATAAATCAATAAAAATGTATACTGTACTTACATTTCTGACAGAAACATTTGCCACTAACTCCCAGTGGCTCTGGAAAGTCTTGAGATACTGGTAGCCTGGATAGCTAATGGCCATATGTTTAAAAACTTCAATAACTCTGCTGAGGCTAACATTAGCTCCCATAGTCAGTGGTGATCCAATGGTTATGCTGTAGAGTTCCTTAACACTATTAGAGTTGATATAGGTGGTGTAAGGACCATCATCTTTATACACTCCTGTAATAAGGAGTGTATAAATTCCCAATGAACATTATAATAATTGCTCCAAGAAATATTACAATTCATCCTCTACTTATCTGCATCTAATAATGTCCCTCCCTAATTATTTCAGCTGACCTAGTATTATATCTACAGTAACTCTTTCATTAGTAAACTCCTCTTAAATGTAATGCCAAAGGAATTTATATGAATCGCAGTTTCCACTGTGAGTGTGCGAGCACATAGCCATTAGTCGAAGTTCCCAAAATGCTATGCATACCATGTGCTTACAAATTAGTGTGTATGTCTGTACATTAATTTGATATAGTCATTATCATTTGGGACCTGACAAGCTGTTGGAGTGCGAGCAGGGTAATATTTAGTGAAGGAATTCAGGGAAACCGGTTAGTTTTATAAAGCCAGACATGAGTACTGGAAATAGGAAGTACAATGCCTGCACTTTAAAGGAAGTGCTTGGGATATTGGAAGTTTGGAGGGATATATTATATATCTTTATACATATATGCTTCTAAACTGTTGTATCTGGGTGCCTCTGCAAAAACAGTGATTATGTATGAGTGAGATGAAAGTGGTGAATGATGATGAAAGTATTTTCTTTTTGGGGATTTTCTTTCTTTTTGGGTCACCCTGCCTAGATGGGAGATGGCCGACTTGTTGAAAAAACAAAAATTATAATTTCCTAGTGTACTATGCCTCTGCTTCTAAATGCAAGTGCCATATTCATTTCCTCCAGTATATAGTATACTATCTCATCTATAACTACAAGAATTTTTTTAACTACCATATATATGATCAATTAAAAAACAAGGAAAGAACTACAGTGGACCCCCGGTTAACGATATTTTTTCACTCCAGAAGTATGTTCAGGTTCCAGTACTGACCGAATTTGCTCCCATAAGGAATATTGTGAAGTAGATTAGTCCATTTCAGACCCCCAAACATACACGTACAAACGCACTTACATAAATACACTTACATAATTGGTCGCATTCGGAGGTGATCGTTATGCGGGGGTCCACTGTATTAGAGTTTTAAATATGCAATACACAAATGTTACTTTTAAAAACTCAATTCTAAATAGTAATCCATACAGTGTATGAGGTATTGCTGAAAAAAAGAACAAGCTCAATGTCATATTTAAAGTAAAAATTGCCTCAGAATATTAATTTTGTACTATGTAATAAATTAATAAAAACTATTTTTTTTAAGTGTAGAAATAATCTTTGAAGACATTTTTTTATGAAAATTCTGATGTTGAGTCAGCCCTTGCTATTTGAAGTGCCAGTCATCATAAACCAGTAATTGGATAATTCCACAGAACAGAGGGTTTAGTGCACATTATACACTACCTTGTCCAGTGTTGCCCACCACGATGCAAACTTTCTCATTTGGGGTCACCTTCTTCAGGATGTTTTTTATGCCCTGTAGAGCAAAACATATTTTATTAATAAATAATTTTATAAATTACTTGCTTGTTGTCTTTACCCCCATGAATCTATGTTGTATTTGAGTCCCACACAAATTTCTTGGAAATGCCATCTGCTTGCTGTTAAGTTTCAGAATATTATTCATTTAGTTATTTTGTAATTTTGAGCATGCAGTACAACTGATTAAGAGGTCAGAGGTTGTATGTATTAAGTAAACCAGCTGCATCAAGTTTCATTGAGATATCTCACTTGCCAAGTGGTTTCCCTTCCCATTTACACGCATGACTTCAAATCTGATGCTGGCATCAAATTTGCTGCCATCTAAAATATAGAAATACAGCAGGTCCTCAAATAACATTGTTTCATTTAACATCACTGGTTATAATGTTGAAAGGAAAAAAACAGTCAAATGAGTATAATGAATATAAATTATTGTAAAATAAAAATTTGTAAAGTATACGATAAAATTATACGATAATATTTTTGCTTAAAGTCGTAGTCTCCAAAAACCTATTGACGATGTTAAGTGAAGATGTACTATACTTGGGAAAGGCAAAGAGCAAAGGATTTGGGAAATCTACACAGAGACTATCTGCTGAGAACAATCTTTTATCGAGATTAAGGACCCTTGTGCATTATCTTTGGGTACAAATCAAGATAGAAAGCAGAAGACTCTCCACCCTCCACTCCATCCGGTCAATGCCAGCATGATTATTATTTATTATTACATTTATGGGAAGAACTAAACCCATATGGGTCATATAGAGTCTGAGAGGCATTTAGGTTCAATCCAAGGAAGGGGAGGGCAAATCCAATTTTTTGGATTAAGAGCCCCTTCACTGGCATCGAAGAACTTCCCTTGAGAAGACCAGTGCCAGCATGAAAACGAGGAAAATATACCATACTACATTGGAAAAATAGTATGTAACTTACAAATGGAACTGCATGAAAGAAATGGGCTACATGTTTATAAAATTAATACTGTTACTATCTTAATAACTTATGTTAATTCACTGCCACAGGTGTATGTACCAGTGATTCTATTTTTGGTTACCACCAGTTCTACTATGACTATCACAATTCTCTACTCTTACCAATGCCACTATTATTGATTTGGATGCCTATTTGCCAACTGATCATCCCTGGTGCAGCTGCTAAACAAACAGGAATCTGTTAACTTCAGATTGTCCCATCTGTTGTGAGTTTATGACAGTCAAATGGGTTTAGTATGGTTTTAGCAAGTGGTTAAGTGCTGCAATGGGTGAATCAGGCAACATCTTGCTCCTGTCTTCCCTCACCAAACCTAACTTGCTGGTCATTAACTTTTTATCACACAATTTGGGCTGATCTGCAAGCTTGAGTGACAGACTTATACTGAAGGCTCTAGCAACTTCTCTCACTAAGACATAAATATATCTAGCTGAATCTTTCCAGATTTTATCCATAGTGGCAGTTAGTCTGCTACTTCCTGAACTCGTAAGGTAGGTACATTTGAAAAGCATTTCATTTCACACACACAAAAAAAAATACTTAAAAATGCATGAGAACTTTTTTAAAGATATCTACTTTGGGAGAAGTTTGGCTTGTCTGACTGACTGCCTAAAAAGCACGGCATTTACACTGTAGTAGTAATCAGTTACTATGTATTTACAACTATATTAGATCACTTACCCTTTATTTATATCTGATATGGAGTCATTCATCATGTACCTTTGTTTTACAATATAAAACCAGAAGAAGAAATATTTTGTGAAGGGATTTAGTGAAACAGGTTAGCCGGACTTGAGTCCTGGAAATGAGAGGTACAATGCCTGCACTTGAAAGAAGGGGTTTGGGATATTGGTAGCTTGGAGGGACATCTGAATTGTCATATCTGGTCACCTCTGCAAAGACAGTGATTATGTATGAGTTATGGTGAAAGTGTTGAATGATGATGAAAGTTTTTTCTTTCTTTTTGGGTTTTTCTTTCTTTTTGGGTCACCCTGCCTTGGTGGGAAATGGCTGACATGTTAAAAAGAAAATGAAGAAATATGAATAAGACATACCTGTATTGAAACAGGTCGGTACCACTGTATGGCTCCAACTGTCAGTTTAAAATCCTCCGGCTGGGTAACATCTTCATTCTGACTGCTGCCACTGCAGCTATCACTGCCTTTTGTGCATCCACTACAGGATCTCTTACAAGCACTGCCAGTTTCAGGACAGTGAGCTTTATATGCATCCTGAAATATATTACAATGACATTAAATCAATGACTGGATAGGTGGTAAATTTTATTATTATATTTAAGTGAAGTGCTAAACCTGTGTGGGGTCATTCAGCACAAGAAGTGATGAAGGCTCAATCCTCTGTCTGTTAATCACAAACCAAATCATTACTTTCTCAGCTAGACAGATAAAGGTAGGCATCACACTTTCTTTTCAAAAGCTGTAAAACTATAATTCTCCAGAGAGACTTCGAAGGGTCTTCACTATTTGAGACTTTTTCTGTATGGTAGACTGTGGTCAAGCACAGAAAGTCTATGGCTTTTTAAAGCCTTTCTGATCTAGGAGTAAGACTCTATGCAGTTACCCATTCAATTATTTACAGGGCACTTTAGTAATTAACTTGACCAAGCAATGCACACATCTTCCATACAGCATATCACATGATGCCTTTGGCATATACATTACAGTGTGAAAAACTGATCATTGCTTTATTATCCTTAAGGCTATAATTCCTCTTTGGCCTTTATTATACAATTAACCCGTAAACGGTCCAAACGTATATATACATTTTTTCAACATTTAAATGTATGTAAAAAAAGTAGATCTTTTTGTTTTTTTACATTTGAAAATGTGTAAAAAAACTTTCATCTACTTTTTTTTTGTTATATTTGAAAATATGTAAAAAAAAAACGTAGATCTACTTTTGTAGCGCTACACATGTGAACGTAGATCTGCTTGGACCGTTTACGGGTTAAAAATAAAATTGTTACTAAGGCAACAACACCTAAACACTATACTGTAAAGTGTGCTGCATAATGGTAAAATATGTGCAGTTCATATCATAGGAGGTGTTCTCAAAGATACATGTACTGTTCAAATCAAAGAAGAGGCAATAAAATTAAAGATAACCAGATATCAGTTGATTATAATGGACAATTAATCGAAATATTCCTGTCTTTTCTTAAGCCATATGCCAAAGCACCTTCTCTACAAGTGTTCCATCAGTCTAGCTTTTTATTTCCTTCTACATATATTTCACCAATCCATTGTTTATTACTATTTTTCACCCTATCCCTCACCTTGCTCAGTATGCATGTTAGAAAAGTCGTCGTAAGCTCCTCTCTCCTATGTGCGGATTATTTATGTATTGTTCCAGTCACGGTATTGTGCATTTTTGTTATCTACTAGTTTCAGAACTCTATGTCTGTTACTTTTTATACACATCAGTACTAAGTACAGTGGACCCCCGCATAACGATCACCTCTGAATGCGACCAATTATGTAAGTGTATTTATGTAAGTGCATTTGTACGTGTATGTTTAGAGGTCTGAAATGGACTAATCTACTTCACAATATTCCTTATGGGAACAAATTCGGTCAGTACTGGCACCTGAACATACTGCTGGAGTGAAAAAATATCGTTAACCGGGGGTCCACTGTATATCCCTGAAGTGTCTCAATCAAGGTTAGTCTTTTTTCCTTTCAAAAAGAAGAATGACACCCTGATAGGTTTCATACAATTTGTTAACTCTGCCTGTTTGTCAAAATATTACTTTTGCAATCAAAGGAAAGAGCTAAACTCAAAATGGGGTATACAGCGCAAAGGAATGTAAAATAATAAGGATCGACCTAAGGAATGAGAGGGTAGCTCCCGTTCCCTAAATCAACAGCTTTTTACCAGCATACCATGAATTATGCCATCCTATATTTTGGTGTTGTTTTCTCATGTGGTCATACATTAATTATTGATGCAGTCTTTATCTTGGGTGTTGTCATTCTTAAACTGCTTTTCTTCATCCCTATTTATTTACCATGATTAACCCTATGTAGTCTGTAGTCCTAAATTGGCTGTACTTTATTCTGCACATCCTCTTTACAACTACTCTACCTAGTAATTTTAATAGTATGGTATTTTTTTTATGAATTTTTAAAATCTTTCTTTCAACACACCGGCCATATCCCACTGAGGCGGGGTGGCCCAACAGGAAAAATTAAAGTTTCTCCTTTTACATTTGGTAATATATACAGGAGAAGGGGTTACTAGCCCCTTGCTCCTGGCATTTTAGTCGCCTCTTGCAACACGCATAACTTATGGAGGAAGAATTCTGTTCCACTTCCCCATGGAGGTAAGAGGAAATAAACAAGAACTAGAAAGAAAACAGAAGAAAACCCAAAGGGGTGTGTATATATATGCTTGTACATGTATGTGTAGTGTGACCTAAGTGTAAGTAGAAGTAGCAAGACGTACCTGAAATCTTTCATGTGTACGAGACAAAAAAAAAAAAAAAGACACCAGCTATCCTACCATCGTGTAAAACAATTACAGGCTTCAGTTTTACACTCACTTGGCAGGACGGTAGTACCTCCCTGGGCGGTTGCTGTCTACCAACCTACTACCTAGGAACTTTTAAAATATAAACACTAATTTTTAACATATGTATTACAAAGAAATACAAACAACATCCCAGACATATTTTTAAATGAACACTAAGAAACCCTCCCAAACCTCAATATCTGCAAGCTTGTCCTTGAGTTGCTGACTTGCATCCTCGGCTAGAGACTTGAAGGCATCTAATATGGGACGGTACCCAGTGCATCGGCACAAGTTACCATCCAGTGAATGTTCCACTTGAGAGGCAGTTAGTGCACCAGATGCCTTCAGTTGTCTGTAAAGTTAAATGCTTCTGCTGCATTACATTTCATAATTTTGATATACAGTACAGACAGTATTTATTAACTACAGATGGCAAGAGTATTTCATATTTTTTGTGGGTAAAACAGAACTAAGGCAAACTAGTGAAATAAGAGTGGCAAGGTAGTCAAAGATCAATAGATACAAAAAGAAAAAGTGAAAAAGGTGTAACAAAAATAAAAATGAAAAATGTGTGATCAGGGCATTTTTCCTGACCATACCAAAGAAAATCAATGACATTGTTTTAGTCCAGTCAAACTGAACTAAAACAATAACAAAAGAAAAGGAAATTAAGTAAATAAGTAAAAGAGAAACATTCAGGAAGATAGGCAAGTGCTGAACATGGGGTCGCGGTCTATCACAAATGGAAAATAGAGATCTATAGAAGCCATCATATACTGCATCTCTTCCCACAAGATTCTTGGATTCACTCACTTTCGTAAATAACAGGGTAAAGCATACATTCTGGGTCCCAGCATGATAAATTACTGAAGGGGGTGTGATATGATGGGATAACATTCCAAGGATTTGGGAGAGAGTTTGAGCCCCAGTATACATTACAATACATTTCATTATTAGAAAAACAAATCTATATAGAGTATGGTACCTCAGATCCAATCATAAAGGCACATCACAGTAAAATTTTTGTCACAGTCTTTTCTAACAAACCAAAACAGGTTAGAAGGTTTGTGTATTAAGAGGAGACATTTCTGGAAGAGTATCAGTAATATTACAAAGTTAATTCAATGAGAGTGTCTTACCCATACATAGTCATGATCATGCCAGGGGAGCAGTACCCACACTGTGTTCCATAGAACCCACTCAGAGCCTTCTGTAGTGAATGATATCCTTTGTGGCGATCCCCCAAGTGCTCTATCGTCTCAATGCTCCAGCCAGCACAAGAATAAACCAGAATTTGACACTATTGGAAGGAAACAAATGTAACTGTAAGACATATAGTAAGAGACTTTTAATTTGATAAACATGACAGTTTGGAGGGCTATGTTCTATATCTTTATATGTACAGTGGACCCCCGCTTAACGATCACCTCCTAATGTGACCAATTATGTAAGTGTATTTACCTGGAGTTTACCTGGAGAGAGTTTCGGGGGTCAATGCCCCCGCGGCCCGGTCTGTGACCAGGCCTCCTGGTGGATCAGCGCCTGATCAACCAGGCTGTTGCTGCTGGCTGCACGCAAACCAACGTACGAGCCACAGCCCGGCTGATCAGGAACTGACTTTAGGTGCTTGTCCAGTGCCAGCTTGAAGACTGCCAGGGGTCTGTTGGTAATCCCCCTTATGTGTGCTGGGAGGCAGTTGAACAGTCTCGGGCCCCTGACACTTATTGTATGGTCTCTTAACGTGCTAGTGACACCCCTGCTTTTCATTGGGGGGATGGTGCATCGTCTGCCAAGTCTTTTGCTTTCGTAGTGAGTGATTTTTGTGTGCAAGTTCGGTACTAGTCCCTCTAGGATTTTCCAGGTGTATATAATCATGTATCTCTCCCTCCTGCGTTCCAGGGAATACAGGTTTAGAAACCTCAAGCGCTCCCAGTAATTGAGGTGTTTTATCTCCGTTATGCGCGCCGTGAAAGTTCTCTGTACATTTTCTAGGTCGGCAATTTCACCTGCCTTGAAAGGTGCTGTTAGAGTGCAGCAATATTCCAGCCTAGATAGAACAAGTGACCTGAAGAGTGTCATCATGGGCTTGGCCTCCCTAGTTTTGAAGGTTCTCATTATCCATCCTGTCATTTTTCTAGCAGATGCGATTGATACAATGTTATGGTCCTTGAAGGTGAGATCCTCCGACATAATCACTCCCAGGTCTTTGACGTTGGTGTTTCGCTCTATTTTGTGGCCAGAATTTGTTTTGTACTCTGATGAAGATTTAATTTCCTCATGTTTACCATATCTGAGTAATTGAAATTTCTCATCGTTGAACTTCATATTGTTTTCTGCAGCCCACTGAAAGATTTGGTTGATGTCCGCCTGGAGCCTTGCAGTGTCTGCAATGGAAGACACTGTCATGCAGATTCGGGTGTCATCTGCAAAGGAAGACACGGTGCTGTGGCTGACATCCTTGTCTATGTCGGATATGAGGATGAGGAACAAGATGGGAGCTAGTACTGTGCCTTGTGGAACAGAGCTTTTCACCGTAGCTGCCTCGGACTTTACTCTGTTGACGACTACTCTCTGTGTTCTGTTAGTGAGGAAATTATAGATCCATCGACCGACTTTATATAAGTGCGTGTGTACGTGTATGTTTGGGGGTCTGAAATGGACTAATCTACTTCACAATATTCCTTATGGGAACAAATTCGGTCAGTACTGGCACCTGAACATACTTCTGGAATGAAAAGATATCGTTAATCGGGGGTCCACTGTATATGCTTCTAAGCTGTTATGTTCTGAGCACCTCTGCAAAAACAGTGATTGTGTGAGTGAGGTGAAAGAGTTGAATGATGATGAAAGTACTTTCTTTTTGGGATTTTCTTTCTTTTTGGGTCACCCTGCCTCAGTGGGAGACGACCAACTTCTTAAAAAAAAAAAAAAAAAGTTTAAGTCTAATAAATACATTTTATTTTAATTTGTAATTGTTCTTTACTTAATAAAGCCCTATTTGTCCACCAGTATATATATATACACATATATAAACTTATTTATTCTTGAAAGTAATATCATAAAAAGATAAAATAGTATTTATGGTAACTCCTATTATGATAATGTTTAAGCTTATTTTTTAATAATAATAATAATAATAATAATAATAATAATAATAATAATAATAATAATAATAATAATAAATACTAATAATTTGGGTTTTTTTTATTCTAGAGCACCTATTCCATCAAGAAATTCACAAGGGTTCACTAAGTAATAAATACAACAGCAACAATGAAGAAATACTGATGTTTAAATTCAAGAGTGATAGTATGATCATCAGGATCATAAGCTCTAGAAAATAGAAGTGCTCTCAATTAAGACTTAACAGCATTAACGGATTCTGAACTCTTTACAGACACTGGCAACTTGTTGAACAATATTCCCAAGAGCACGAAGCTCCCACAGTTGAAAAGGGTTTGCAACAATTCACAGCAACAGTTTCAAGGTCCCCCAGTGGATATAAGCCACTTTGACTTTTTTGGGTTATCCTAGATAATTTATATTATGTATGATAATTTTACTTATGTGTACCTGTGCCTAAATAAACCTATTTACTTAATTACTAAGCCTGATGTACAAGGTATTGTATAACTATATCAGGAAGATACTTGGCTTTATTACACTTAATATCTTTAAAGGTTAATAAAATTTAGATTCAAGTCTTGCCTTGACAGTGAGCCAATTTAGCTCATACAAATATAAATAGTGGGAACTCCAGTTGGGAGTGACAATACCAGCTAGACTGGTATTGTCACTCCCAACTGTCAATTGTCACAATTCAGTGCAGACTGAAATCTTTAAAAGTAGTTAGGTAAACCCACAAACAGCTGCAAAAGTCAACGTAAGAGTAAACAAATGCATGGATAAGGCCCAAGAAACTCTACTTATAAAGATATTTTCTGATTGCAAAGAGATTATGCAAATGAAAATTGCCAAATTTAACAATTTGGTTGACATGTTTAAAAAATGACAAAGTCAAAGTCAAGAATTTATATTCACATGATACAATTTTTGGAGAGAGATGGGCGAGATTTGGTTGTGTATGTAGAAAGCCCACGATAATTCAGGGCATCTGGACAAGCATGTAGATATCCAGACAGGCACCCAGATCCCTCACTGATCTCACAAGTTGCAAACTAACAGTACAACAATCAAAGGCATCAAAATCTTGAATCTGTACTTCCCTGAGGTTTCCCTTGATAATAAAAAAATCACTGTCTTACCCCTCATTGAGTTTCAGTTTTCTGTTTATCATCCAAACCCAAATATCCAGCAAAAGAGAATTGAAGTAGCAATTTTACATCTTCTGCATTTAGAACCTGGATGTAGACTTGTCTATCTTCAGCACAATGAACCCCATGGGCATCGAACGGTAAGGTTAACCCGTTAACATAAAAACCAAAAGTAAAAATATTATTATAGCATCTCTGAAACTATATGTTTATCATGAACACAAAATATGAATCTTTTAGATTTCAGGTGTCTACAAAAATATAAAAAAATCATTCTACTAACAGCATTTACACTAAATGTTTTAAATTTTCCAGCAGTCTCCTGATCAGGCACTGTAGCAACAATGGTACAGGCTCCACAACCACCCTCCCAACACAGCACCTTCGTTCCAGCCAGCTTTACAGTCTCTCTCAAGAAGCCAATTAGCGTTGTCCATGGTGGTATCCCGGACCCCACTAGATGGAGAGACAAAGGTGGCAAATTATAATGGTTTATTTGAAAATGACACAAAGAAAATCCAAACCTTGAGAAAGTTGCCAAGAAATAAAACTGAATACTGTTCTGACTACTGCATTATTATTAATGTATTATGGAGGAACACTAAGTCCACAGGGTTCATACAGTGCCTGGGGAATGGAAAGCAATCATGTTTGATCCAAGGAAGGAGAGAACAGGTCCATTTCTTTGTATGGTGTACAGCATTTAATTTTGGTCTCTACTCTGGGGTCTTATGTAGTGATTAACATGCAAAACTAAGAAATACGTACATTGAAGAATTAATATGAAAATTTTATAAACAATTATTTTAGCATTTCATCCATATACATATTTAAAAGCCATTTTATAATTCTTTAGAGTAGCATACAAGTTTCTCACAGCTGTTTGTATTGTGAGGAAAAACCTTCACAAGGTTGGTTGATCAGGCTCTGATCCACCAGGAGGCCTGGTCACAGACCGGGCCGCGGGGGCGTTGACCCCCGGAACTCTCTCCAGGTAAACTCCAGGTATACATGTACTGTAATAGTTGTAGTGTTGAGGGATGACAGTTTTTATTATAGTGTGTTAATAATAGGTTTAATGTGTTCCAATGCCATGTACAGCACTGATTCTACATTATATGTAGCCTTTTTGTCTTTCATGTCTGGTTCGTGTTACTATCTCCATTTTTTGTTTTTTGGTAATAAACAAAATTATCTGTTTTCCATCTAATGGCACATTTGTTGCACTTCTCTGTAGCCTTCCCTGCCTCTAACATAAAAAGATTTTAAAATACCAAGACTTGACTCTTCTTTACCCATAACCATTGATATATTGTATACTAAAGTATTCAATGAGGACAGAAACGTCTATACTACAAGTATGGTTATTCATTTTTGTTTGGAAGTCACCCCTATTGTTTTTACAGAATACAATAATTTGTTGCTACAAGGGAACTGGTCCTTCACTTAAATTCAAAGTTTATTTTCTATAAGAATTACAATGCTGAGTTTACAGAATTTGGTTATTGTGTGGTTTACATATAATACAATACTAATTACACGTAGTAAAATATTAATTACAGATTTAACTATTGCAATTTATAGCTTTTCAACCCACACAATGCAACACAATTTACTTGAAACAGATTACAAGATATTTGGGTGTTGTACTCTCTACTGAGCTATCCAAAGGTAACTTTGTTTTTACAATACAGTGGACCCCCGCATAACGCTATTAATCCGTTCCTGAGAGCTCATTGTTATGCAAAATTATCGTTATGCGAATTAATTTTCCCCATAAGAAATAATGGAAATCAAATTAATCCGTGCAAGACACCCAAAAGTATGAAAAAAAATTTTTTTTACCACATGAAATATTAATTTTAATACACACAAACTTAAGAAAACATGCACAGTTACATGACACTTACCTTTATTGAAGATCTGGTGATGATTGATGGGATGGGAGGAGGGGAGACTGGATGGTTTTAGTGTTTAGAAGGGGAATCCCCTTCCATTAGGACTTGAGGTGTCAAGTCCTGCTATCTGTTTTTCGTTTATCCACACCAATAACAGTCTCTCAACATCTTCTATCACTTGCGATCTCTGTTTCAAAAGCACAGTTAAACCTTTGGCAAGAACAGCTTCCTTGATTGCCGTTCTCTTGGACACAATAGAAGCGATGGTTGATTGGGGTTTACTATACAACCTGGCCAGCTCAGAGACACGCACTCCACTTTCATACTTAGCAATGATCTCTTTCTTCATCTCCATAGTAATTCTCACCCTTATTCCTGTAGGGTTGGCACTAGAAGCTTTCTTGGGGCCCATGGTCACTTATTTTTCAGGTGAAATCACTATGAAAAGGCTGTAATAATACGAAATGTTCCGATTGTATGCTTGAATGTTACTGCGGAGGCTGGCTTGTAAACAATGCCACTGGCAGAACAAGTGAGGCTGGCTCAGGCCGCATGGAGGTGTCTCGGACGAATCTCGTTGAGCGAATTTTTTAGCACTATGCGAGGCAAAATTTTAGTGATAAAATGTATCGCTATGCGGATTTAACACTATGCGATGCCAACGTTATGCGGGGGTCCACTGTACTAGTCCCTTTTTACTGGATTAAACATGAAATTCTCTAAATACAAAATTAAATTTCATACAGTTTCTAGTCATGGTCAACTGAATTTTAAGTAATGATTTCCTACAGTAACATAACACTTACCAACGTAATCTTGCCCATTAACCTTAAGTTTAATACGCCGAAGGAGGAAATCCTCTTCACCAGCTGACATAGTTTTGACTGAAGCCATTGAAATGTCTCAGCAAGGTGCCAGTGGTTCGATCCAGATGACTGATGGCTTGCTGCTCACTTCCTTATAATGAAAGAGAAATGTACCTGATTCATGTTTATCAAACACTGTAATAGAAAGAAGTTTTATATATACTGGTGATAGAAATAAAAGTCCTCTGTGTCATTTACCCCTGGAATTCCAAACTTTCCTATTATGGTCTTTACAGAAGTTTCTCTAACTTCAACATTAAGGTCTCACATAAAAATGGGTTAAAAAATCCTTAAATATTTACTAATAATTCTTGCAGACTATAGAAAAAATATTTGGTTGCAAAACTGGTCCTGCTGCAGAAGCATGTATCTGTGCACTAAAATGTCAAATTTATACAAGAAGCTCCCCAGTGCAGGCAATAAACTCTTTGTTTAACAGACTGCCACTTAACAGACTAAATCCAATGGGTATATTGATTTGGAAACAATGAACAAAGTCCTCTGGTTGCAAAACTGTTCATTACTGTTATAATCACTGCAAAACAATCTTTTCTGCATCCACCATGACTGCCTTTACTGGCAAGCTACTGCTCCCCAATTAGTCCATTGAACAGTGGGTTTACTGCATTCCTTACATTAAAAAATAGTGATAGAGTAAATTGCTGGATATTTTTGTTAAGATAATAAAAATCTGTAATACTCTCTGCCTTATGTTAATAATCAAAACTGTAATCCTTCTCTACCAAACTTATTAAAGCCATATAGCATGAACTAATAGAATATTCAATTCTCTTATATTCATTGTAACTCGCTAATGACCATATGTACAAAATTACTGCACTGTTATTGCCCTATTAATCTTAAGTTTGCCTGAAATGCTCTTCATATAAAGGGGCTTTTGGTATGTACACCCAACTGTTATACATACAGTACTCTTTTGTACAAACATATATCACGTTGAAATAAAATTATTATTATTATTATAGTGTAAAGATCCTAGAATTAAGTGTAAAGATCCTAGAATTATGCTGTAAAGATCCTAGAATTATAGTGTAAAGATCCTAGAATTATAGTGTAAAGATCCTAGAATTATGCTGTAAAGATCCTAGAATTATAGTGTAAAGATCCTAGAATTATGCTGTAAAGATCCTAGAATTATAGTGTAAAGATCCTAGAATTATAGTGTAAAGATCCTAGAATTATAGTGTAAAGATCCTAGAATTATGCTGTAAAGATCCTAGAATTAAAGTGTAAAGATCCTAGAATTATAGTGTAAAGATCCTAGAATTATAGTGTAAAGATCCTAGAATTATGCTGTAAAGATCCTAGAATTATAGTGTGAAGATCCTAGAATTATGCTGTAAAGATCCTAGAATTATAGTGTAAAGATCCTAGAATTATGCTGTAAAGATCCTAGAATTATAGTGTAAAGATCCTAGAATTATACTGTAAAGATCCTAGAATTATGCTGTAAAGATCCTAGAATTATAGTGTAAAGATCCTAGAATTATGCTGTAAAGATCCTAGAATTATAGTGTAAAGATCCTAGAATTATAGTGTAAAGATCCTAGAATTATAGTGTAAAGATCCTAGAATTTTGCTGTAAAGATCCTAGAATTTTGCTGTAAAGATCCTAGAATTTTGCTGTAAAGATCCTAGAATTATAGTGTAAAGATCCTAGAATTATGCTGTAAAGCTCCTAGAATTATAGTGTAAAGATCCTAGAATTATAGTGTAAAGATCCTAGAATTATGGTACAGTACTACAGTGGGGACTAACATCAGACTATTTTAGGAATATTTAAATACATATATGTATATATTATTATTATAATCAAAAAGAAGCGCTAAGCCACAAGGGCTATACAGCTTATATGTATATAGAATATGGCAAAAGGGTAAACTCAGCAGTAATCAGTAGCACCAACTGAGAACAATGGAAGTAAGTCACTTCGGCTGTCTTTTTTGGGTTACCAAGGTCATGTAAGTCACTTCAGCTGACTTTTTTGGGTTATCCTAGGTCATGTACACTATGTATGATAACTACTTATGTGCACCTGTGCTTAAATAAATTTACCAAGATCATACAGTAAAGAAACTATAAATAACATTCCACTACAGAAATATTATTACATTCATGGGAAAGTACTAAGTATGTAAAGGGTCATATAGGACTTGGGGAATGGGAGACAATTAGAATTGATCCAAAGAAGAGGGCAACTCAAAAACCTTGACTCAAGAACCCTCAACCAGCACCAAGATCCCCCCCTCCCCCTCCTACCTTGAAGAGTTCTCTACTGAAACACAAATAACTTTTATAATGTAACATCTGTAAACTATCTTCTCTACTTGTTATATTTATATATTCTCACCATGCCTGCATAATGCTTTTAATGATTAGAAGAAGCATGACTGTTACCTAGAAACAAATGCTGAACAATCAAGTTTAATCCAAAGAAAGTGATAGTGGCTCCAGTTCCTCAAGAACAACGGGAACAGTATGAAATTTAATAGAGTCATTTTGACTTTTTGGGGGGTTATCCTGGGTAATTTAAACTGTATGATAATTGTACGTATGTGTACTTGTGCCTAAATAAATTTAGTAACCTCAATGCATGGTAGCTCTTCTGGTATATCAATGCAGTTACTGTTATCACTCCCTCAGATGAGGAGCTCTTGATCCAAGGAAATGGACCTGCTTTTATCTTCGTTGGCTAGAACCTGACTGCCTCTCATTCCTGAATATGCCAGAAACGCACTGTATAATAATACCTGGAGAGAGTTCTGGGGTTCAATGTCCCCGCGGCTCGGTCTGTGACCAGGCCTCATGGTGGATCAGGGCCTGATCAACCAGGCTGTTACTGCTGGCTGCACGCAATCCAACGTAAGAGCCACAGCTCGGCTGGTCAGGTACTGACTTCAGGTGCTTGTCCAGTGCCAGCTTGAAGACAGCCAGGGGTCTATTGGTAATCCTCCTTATGTATGCTGGGAGGCAGTTGAACAGTCTTGGGCCCCTGACACTTATTGTGTTGTCTCTTAACGTGCTAGTGACACCCCTGCTTTTAATTGGGGGGATGTTACATCGTCTGCCGAGTCTTTTGCTTTCATAGGGAGTGATTTTCGTGTGCAAGTTTGGTACTAATCCCTCTAGGATAATAATAATAATATCTATTTCTACATGTACAAGGTATACAGTCCTAGCTGACATACTACTATATAGAAAGCCGCTTGTTATGCAGAGCATTTCGGGAAAATTAGGTCAATTATGTCCCCAGGATATAACCCACACCAGTCGACTAACACCCAGGTACCTATTTCACTGCTAGAAGAACAAGGACAGCAGATGTCTTATGGAAACACATCCTTATGTTTTCCACCCGTACCGGGGATCGACCCATGGACCTCAGTGTGTGAGCTGAATGCGCTTCTAATCGAGCTACAGAACTTTTAACATGCACACCTAAATGTAATTCACCTTTGTACAAACATTGTATAACTCTGAAATAAAGTATCTTTATCCAGGTACTGTGTAACTAAGTTTATTGAGGTACAAGTACGCATAGTTACACAAATTATCATACATAGTATCATGTGTAAATAATCTATCATAACCTCACCCCCAAAAGTAAGTGACAGCCTGCTGCGAGGATTGACCGCCTCTGACATGAGCCAGATGCCAAGATTGATTAGTAAGTAAGTAAGTAAGTAAATTTATTCAGGTATACACAATACAGTTACATACCTGAGAGAATGAGAGGCATTCAGGCTCTATTCAAGGAAGTGGAGCACAAGTCCAGTTCCTTAGAGCTAGAGCCCCTTGCCGTCATCAAGGAATCTCTCTGGAGGGGAGGTGTGGAAAATACTGTATATATTTTCCAGAAATACCCAGGGCAACATGGGTTTAGAACAGGTCGCTCCTGTCTGTCTCAACTATTGGATCACTACGACAAGGTCCTAAATGCACTAGAAGACAAAAAGAATGCAGATGTAATATATACAGACTTTGCAAAAGCCTTCGACAAGTGTGACCATGGCGTAATAGCGCACAAAATGCGTGCTAAAGGAATAACAGGAAAAGTCGGTCGATGGATCTATAATTTCCTCACTAACAGAACACAGAGAGTAGTCGTCAACAGAGTAAAGTCCGAGGCAGCTACGGTGAAAAGCTCTGTTCCACAAGGCACATTATTATTATTATTATAATCAAGGGGGAAGCGCTAAACCCGTAGGATTATACAGCGCCCAGGGGAGGGGGATGTGGAAGGCATTCAGGCTTAATTCGGGGAACTGGAGCACAGATCCAATTCCTTAAATCAAGAGCCCCTCACCAACATCAAGGAACCTTCCATGAGGGTCCACAAGGCACAGTACTCGCTCCCATCTTGTTCCTCATCCTCATATCCGACATAGACAAGGATGTCAGCCACAGCACCGTGTCTTCCTTTGCAGATGACACCCGAATCTGCATGACAGTGTCTTCCATTGCAGACACTGCAAAGCTCCAGGCGGACATCAACCAAATCTTTCAGTGGGCTGCAGAAAACAATATGAAGTTCAACGATGAGAAATTTCAATTACTCAGATATGGTAAACATGAGGAAATTAAATCTTCATCAGAGTACAAAACAAATTCTGGCCACAAAATAGAGAGAAACACCAACGTCAAAGACCTGGGAGTGATCATGTCGGAGGATCTCACCTTCAAGGACCATAACATTGTATCAATCGCATCTGCTAGAAAAATGACAGGATGGATAATGAGAACCTTCAAAACTAGGGAGGCCAAGCCCATGATGACACTCTTCAGGTCACTTGTTCTATCTAGGCTGGAATATTGCTGCACACTAACAGCACCTTTCAAGGCAGGTGAAATTGCCGACCTAGAAAATGTACAGAGAACTTTCACGGCGCGCATAACGGAGATAAAACACCTCAATTATTGGGAGCGCTTGAGGTTCCTAAACCTGTATTCCCTGGAATGCAGGAGGGAGAGATACATGATTATATACACCTGGAAAATCCTAGAGGGACTAGTACCGAACTTGCACACGAAAATCACTCACTACGAAAGCAAAAGACTTGACAGACGATG